TGTGGCCGTTGCGGTTTGGTACGCGGCGCTGTCAGCTCAACCTTCACCCCAGGGTCTCTCGGCCCGCGATGTCCCCAGTCTTGCTCGTGGACGGGGAAGGTTGGCGATGCGTCTGTGTTCCGTGTCTGGGGATCTCGGGCGTTTGTCCGCGACTTGTCTGCGGACAAGCTTTCCCCCGTGCTGCTCCTTGTGTCTTCCTTGGCTTCCCCCTGACGCTCCAGTGGTGGCAGTTCTACCACCCCACCCTCTCGTCGTGTTCTGTCTCCCAAGACGTCACGTTCGACGAGTCAGTCCCCTTCTACCGCCTCTTCCCCTACCGCACTCCTTCTCTCCCCCCCCAACCGGACTTCCTTGTGCTAGTTCCACCCCCGGTAGACCCCCTCCCCCTCAGGGTCCTGCCCCTTCAGGTGTGTCCCAGGTAGACGCCGTTGACCCGGTCGAGGTTACTGGTGGACTCTGGTTGCTGCTGCGGGTGCTGAGCCTGGGTGTGTGCCGAGCCTGGAGGTGCTGCTACTGGGGGTGCTGAGCCTGGGGGTGCTACTGCTGAGGGTGCTTGAGCCTGGGGGTGCTCAGCCGGGGGGGTGCATGTGCCTGGAGCTGCTGAGCCTGGAGGTACTGAGTCTGGAGGTACTGCACCTGGAGCTGCTGAGCCTGGGGTTTCTCCTGGTGCTCTGTCTCTGCGGGAGCCCCTCTCTCCACAGGAGCTGCCGCGAGTGGTTTGCTCGCCGCTGGAGGCGTACTGCTGGAGCTGGAGCTTCTTCTGCCGTGGAGGGTGCTACTGTCGACAGTCCCGGAGCTGCTGGGCCTGCGGGGTCCTACTGGAGCTGGAGCTGCTGAGGGTGTTGGAGCTGAGACTACTGCTGTCTGTCCTGGCGGTTGGTCCTGCTGCTGGTGCTGCTGGAGGTCCCTGCCGCTGGAGGTGGTTGGTGGCGTCTGGTGCTGCCGCTGAGGGTGCTTGGTGCTGTCCCTGCTGGGTCTTGAGCTGCCGCGCGGCCCTCGGCCGTACTTCGTTCCGCTCCTACAGCAGGTTCTTGGTCTTTCTCCTCCTGTAGAGTGTCCACAGCCTGTCCAGTCGCGGTCACTGTTGGAGCCTACCTCCCCACTGCCTGCTCCCTCTCCCCTACACTGGTCCTACTAGGGTCTTTCTGAGCGTCGTGAGCCTGCGTCTCGTCCCGCGTCGCCTGTTCGTGCTGCTCGCAGCTAGTGGTCGCAGTTCGCGTCAGCGTCCTCCCTCCTGTCCCGAGCACGCACTGGATGTCTCTGCGTCCGTCCACTGCTCCGCTGCGTGCCCCTTTGCCTTCTCCTCCTGAGTCCTCTCTTCCTGCGCTTTCCGACCCGGGAGTCGGACTCTCTTGCGTGCTGCAGTCATACTGTCACGCGTCTTCTTGCTACTGTTGTCACTGACCCCTCTTTCGAAGTCCACTGCTGCGTCTGCTCTTGTCGCTGAGCTCGTCAACTTTGCTGCTCGCTGTCGTCTCGACTACGCTGCTAGTCTTGTTGCTGAGTCTGCGTCTGTCTGTCCTCCGTCCGTCGGGGGTGAGTGTGCTCTTGGCACGGACGTCCTTGAGGACAGGTAGGAGGAGTTCCAGTATCTGGCTGCTGCTTCACCTCATCTCGCGTCTGTACTACTTGCCCCTGAGGGAGACCCGGATGCACTAGACATCCCGACTCCGTGTTCTTACGCGGAGGCCGTAGAGGTCCCTACTCCTCTCAGTGGCAGGCAGCTATGGATGCAAAGATGGCTTCCTGGAAGTCCACAGGCACCTACGTTGACGAGGTTCCCCCTTCTGGGGCGACTGCACATAGACCGCTCAGCGCGACTACGAGCTTCACTCTCTTGACTTCAGCACTGCTTTCTTGCAGGGCAGCCTGCACGAGGAGATCTGGCTGCGCCGTTCCGCCTGGCTTCACTGGGACTTTCCCTCCTTGCACCCAGTGGAGCCTCCGACGGCCAGTCTACGGTCTACGCCAGGCACCGCCGTGAGTGGCACGACACACTGAGGGACTACGCTTGCGGCTCTTGGGTTTGCTCCCTCTACTGCTGACCCGTCGCTGTTTCTGCGCACCGACACTTCTCTGCCGCCGTTCTACATCCCCGTGTACGTCTTTGCCACTGCTGACACTGCTGGACTCGCCCACGTGAAGTCCGAGCTGCCTGAAGAGACACACGTGCACAGACCTGGCGTGAACTGCGCAGCTACCTTGGCTTGCAGATCACTCGGGACAGGAGCACGCCGCACCATTACCTTGACTCAGTCACACATGGTGCAGCAGGTCCTCAGCGCTTCGGCTTCACGTACTCCTCGCCTCAGGCCACTCCTCTGCCTACTCGCCACTCGCTCTCAGCTCTGCCTTCGGATGAGTTCGTAGAGCCGAGTGGCCCGTACCCAGAGCTTGTTGGCTGCCTCATGTACCTGATGACCTGCACTCGACCTGACCTTGCATACCCTCTTAGCACTTCTTGCACGCTATGTTGCTCCCGGGAGACACCGACCAGAGCACATGGCTGCAGCGGAAGAGGGTGCTGCACTACTTGTGCAGTACGTCGGGCATGGGGCTAGTGCTTTGGAGGGCGGAGAGTCCCAGTGGTCCTCACTGGCCACAGCGGGACGCTTCTTGGGCTGACGACCAGGCTACGCAGCGGTCGTCGCAGGGGTACACCTTCAGTCTTGGTTCTGGCTCTGTCTCTTGGCCGGGCTACTCGCTCGTCTTCTGTTCTCGGCTCCAGTTGTGAGGCTGAGATCTACGCTGGGGCCATGGCTGCGCAGGAGCTTCGCTGGCTCACCTACCTGCTGACTGACCTTGGAGAGCCGCCTCGTTCTCCTCCAGTGCTGTACGTAGACAACAAGGCCATGCTGGCCTTGTGTCGAGAGCAGCACCTGGAGCACAGAACGAAGCACATTGCTCTCCGCTACCTCCTTGCTCGCGAGCTACAGCAGCCGTGGACAGTTGCGGCTTGCGTACGTGGCCTCTGAGGCCAACACTGCTGATGTGTTCACCAAGGCACTCGCGCCTTGTGACCATCAGCGCTTCTGCACTCAGCTTGGAATTGTACCTGTCCTACCTCACTTGCTCACCTCTTGACCTTGCTTGTACTCTTGCATATATATATACCTGCTCTTGCTTGTTTAGCCTTATATATATATGCCTTCTCGTGCATGTGAACTGGCCTAGTGGCCTTGACCTTGTGCTCGGACTGTGTGGTGACTTTGTGATCCACCCCTGAGCTTGCTTTGCTTTGCTTTACTTGACTGGTCTTGTGACCCCTTGTTCTCCCCCACTTTGCCTATGGGGGTGTGTCAGAACTTATAGCTTATGCTTTTGTGTAGGCTTTAGTGGGGTATCCCATAAGGGGTACAACCCAATTAGGGTTGGTACTTGTACTCACACATTTCATAGTTCATTCATTCTCGTTCAAACTTTCTCACGGTTCAGCATCAGCAGCAGCAGCCGTCATCGACTGCCCCAGCCCGCAACGTCATGAGCTACATGGCCATGACGGCGCGAGTCGTGCCGTCGCCGTGTACGCTCACCTTCACCTGAGCCAGCAGCGCATCCCCATTGGCGCGTTCTTCAACAACAACCCGTTCAGTCCGCGCCACTACTTCACCGACGATGATGACCAGGACTGGAATCTCCCAGTCCCGCTGCTTGAAAGTCCTCCGCACGTACCTGATATGCGGGTGGCGCCACTTGATTGGCTCTCGCCTGCGAGCAATTTCTGAAGTTTCGACAATTCCGCACATCGTCACGCCGCGACTGGCGCTGCTTTGCACGTGACGACAATAAGCGCTACAACACTTGGTACCTGGACAGCTGTGTCAGAATGAGAAACGCACGATCAAGAAGTACCTCTCCCTGGCCCTGACCACGGACGCGGGCTGGGCCCCACACGTCCATGTGGAGCGTCTGCAAAGGAGCAGTCGTCGGGGGGAACGAGGAGGAGTGAGGGGCAGCGCGCTGCCGCCCCTCGACACAGGAAGACAAGGAGGAGCAAGGGAGGGTGGGAGGGGAGGGAGTACCCGAGGAAGACCAGAGACAATGGTACCGGGAGTGCATGCCCCGAAGGCGCCTGCACTAACGGGTGACCAAGTCGGTGGTGCCAGAGGACAGTCTTGTGCGCTAGAGAGCGACACGAGCAGGGGGCAGGACAGCTGACCTGACGCAGACGCAGACGCAGACGCCGCTACCTGAGGGGACTCAGTGGTCAGTGTGTACAGGTCCGACCCCGGCTGCCGAGTGAAGGTAGCCAGGTGACGGCCCGTCCGAGCACAACGTGCAATGATGTGTCACGCGCTCGTAGGCAGGGGTGAACTGGTGAACACCCCCATCCTGAAGCGCACAAACCCGCCACCAAGTTCGTAGAGAACGAGGGGAGGTGGAGGAGACCTGACAGTGTGCCCGACGGGACAGCAGGACAAGGAAGGAGGGTGGAGGAGGTCGCAATGACCGGACCCCCCAGAGGGGTCCTCAGCGAGCGAGACAGCGACTGGTCGAGCAAGGGGCTCAAGAGCAGTGCGGTCACGAAAGAAACAGCGCGAAGCGCCTGAGTCTAGAGTGAAGGTGTGCAGTGCCTCAGTGGGACTCAGTAGTACCTGGGGTGGCGGACACACCAAGCACCTAGAGCAGTAGCCTCACCAGCACCTGGGGCAGCAGGACACGCAAGCACCTAGAGCGGCAGCCTCACTCGTGCGGATGCCTGGGTCAGGCGGAACACTCAGGTACTGGTCCTCCTCTCCACTAATAGTCAATGCATACATTGCTTTGAGAATAACATCAAAATCAAGAGCATAGATATCGATATCCTTCTTGAGGAGATCAGCCCACTGAGGGAGCTCAGGAGCGTCAGGAAACTGAGCACGCCAAGCGTCATCTAGGCGAGAGAAGCAGCGTCTGCGCAGTGTGCGCCCTCCCGCACGTCTGTCCCTTGCGGCGACCAGTGCGGATGACGTACGTGCAGCTAAGGCTACCCCCCCCCACCCCCGTGCTGTAAGTACCACTCACGAAGCCTCCTGGGAGGACTGAGGGTGCTGCGCGCTCTGGCCAGTGCCAGAGCCCTCCACGACCACCACCGCCGCCTCCACCACGACCACCACCGCCCCTGCCGCCGCCACGTCCACTGCCGCCACCACACCGCCCCCCACCTCGGCCACCGCCGCCGCCGCTGCCTTCCACCACCCCCCACCGCTGCCACTAGCCCCTCCAGCCCCCGCCACCGCCCCCACCGCCGCCACCACCCCCACCACCGCCTCCCCCGCCATCACCCCCACCGCCCTTGCCTCCCCTGCCCTTGCCGCTGCGGCGCCCGCTGGGAAGCGGACGCAGAGCCGACCTGCTCAGCACCCAAGGAGGTCGACAAGCAGCAGCAGATGGCGACAGAGGGGAGCAGGGGGGGAGGGGGAACACCCCTCGAAGAAAGGGGTGCGGGGGTCGCCCCGAGAGGCACCTACAGCTACAATACTCTTCTCAGCTGCAAGTAGTTCCTTCTCTAGGGCGGCAATGGTGAGCTCAGTGGGGCAGCGAGCTAGGAAGTGGTCCCTGACTGTACGCAGAGTGTCAGGGAGGCGGGTGACTAGGTGGTAGAGAGTGAGCCAGAGCGGGGGAGGGTTGGAGGCAAGAAACTCAGCGGGCATGGCTGCACGGAAGCGGGCATCACTAGTGCGGAGGTGAGTGATGAGGTCAGCGACTGTCTGGAAGGCAGACAGGTCGGGGAACAGGTAGGGAAGTGAGAGGCGGCCTAGTGCAGCTGAGGCCGGGGAGGAGTAGCGCGCAACTACAGCAGTGTACAGGGCGTGCGCAGTCTGATGCTGGCCGAAGTGCTCGCGCTCGTCTACTGGCAGGGAGTTGCGAATAGCAAAGCGGGCGTGGGCATCGCGAGTCTGCCACTGTGAGCGAGCAAGTAGCAGCAGCAGTAGTAGCAGGAGTAGGGACTGTGCCTAGTGCGTGATCGTACAGCGAGATATCCTCTCTGGCAGTGAGCTGGAGGAACAGATGCAGATCATCGAGCCAGGTCTCAAATTAATCGGGCGGCCCTCAGTATCGAACGAGAGAACTGGAGGGCTAGCCATAGCTGAAGTAGCAGTAGCAGATAGTAGCAGCTCAGTAGCAGCAGCAAGCAGCCCAGCTAGTAGCAGCAGCAGTAGCTAGTAGCAGTAGTAAGTAGCAGTAGCAGTAGTAGTAGCAGTCTCAGTACTGGTGCTGCTGCTCAGGTAAGGACGGGTGCGGCTCGGCTAGGACGGCGCGGCTCGGCTTAGGGCGGCGCGGCTCGGCTAGGGCGGCGCGGCTCGGGTCGGGTCGCGCCAGGCGCGGCCGGCCGTGAGGGGCGAGCGCGGGAGAGGCCGTCATTAGGGGGCAGGTCGGGGCTAGCGCCGAGGGCCGGGTGGGGCTGCTAAGGGATGAGCGCGGGGCCGGCCAGGGCGAGGGCCGAGGCGATCGGGGGCCGTTCGGGGCTAGCGCTGGGGCCGTCCGAGGGTCGTGAGAGGCTAGCGCTCGGGGCCGACGGGGGCCTTAGTGCGCTAGCGCGGGGCCTGAGGGGGGCTGTGAGAGGCTAGCGCGGGGGGCCGCACGGGGCCATTCAGGGCTAGCGCGGGGCCGTTCGGGGGCCGTGAAGAGGCTAGCGCGGGCCGACGGGGGCCTTAGGGAGGCTAGCGCGGGGCCTGAGGGGGCCGTGAGAGGCTAGTGTGGGGCCGATCGGGGGCTTGTGAGAGGCTAGCGCGGGGCCACACGGGGCCGTGAGAGGCTAGCGCGGGGGGCCGTAAGGGGCCCTTAAGCGGGCCGACGCGAAGGGCCGTTGAGGGGCCTAAGGGGCGACGCGAGAGGGCCTCAGGGGGCCTTAAGAACGAGGCGCTCGAGGCGCAGGAAAAGGCGGCGCACGAGGGCGCGGCTAGCGGAAACGGTGGGCCCTATCGTTTCGGTCCTAGGTGAAACCTAAGCTCGTAATACCATGTCAAAGTAACTAGCAATAGGTGGGCTTAGGAGCCTTGGTGATTGAGTTCGAGTAAGTTTGAGATAGGAGAGTCGAGAAAGTTGAAAAGAGAAGAGGAGGAGTTTCACTATAGAGCGAGCAGAGTACATATAGGCAAGATGAAAGGTGCACCACCAAAACAGAACATTATATAACTACACTAGTCTACACTACAAGCAATTACAAAACAATATATAGATTTATATATTATTCTGACCACGCCCCCATAAGTGCCTGTAGGGAAGAATATGTAGTCAACGCCCCCATAATGGGGTACACCAAGAGTGCGTAGCAGTACGGGAGAGGGCAGGTAAGGAGGAGAGAGGGAGAGAGAGAGAGGGAGAGAGAGGAGAGGAGGTGATAGGCTCTGGTTGGTCACCACATACATCCCCTCATCCTCCCCCTCCCCCTCCCCCTGCTGTAGGAGCAGTAGAGGGGGGGACAAACGGAGGAGAATGGAGCCGTAGGGCCAGGGGACCACACTCACCCATCACCCCCACACCCGCCACCCCCCAGTCCCTCCCCGGGCTCCCCCACACTCTCACACCCTCCCCCCCAGCAGCAGCTGCAGCAGAGGGAACAAAAGGAGGAGGAGAAAAAGGGGGGGGAGGGAGGGGGGGGGGGGGGCGACGCACGCCTCCCCCGGGCGCCAAAGCAGGCGGCAGAGGGGGCGACGCCTGCCCCCCCTTTCCAGGGTCGCGGCCCCGAAGGAGCCGCGAGGGTGACGGGAAAAGGGGGGGGGGCGGTGGCACGTGCCACCCGGTGTGCCGCGGCTGGCGACAGAGCATGGCCGGGGCGGGGTCGGGGCCGCAAGATGGCGGTGGCCGCAGGTGGCATCGGGGCTGGGACGGGTACCGCACGGGCGGCGACGGGCCGGGACGGGCGGCGATGGTCGGTTACGGTGCAGGTGAGACGGGGCCGCAGCGGACGGCGGCGCGTCGTACGGGCGGTACGTGACGCGCGGAAAGGGCGGCGACGGGCTTGTACGGGCGGGCGACGGGCCGGGACGGGCGGCAATGGCCGCTAAAGCAGGCGGCGAGGCCGCAACAGTAGGGCGCGAGGCCGCTAAAGCAGGGCGGCGACTGGCCGCGACAGGAGGGCGGCGGCCCCGCGACAGATAGGGCGGCGGCAGCCGCGACAGCAGAGAGGCGGCGACGGCCGCGACAGTAGGGCGGCGGGGCCGCTTAAGAAGGGCGGCGGGGGCCCGCAGACAGTAGAGCGGCGGTGGCCGCGACAGTAGAGCACACCACGGGGTGTGCAGTACACTCAGTAGCAGCGGAAGCAAGAGGCCAGGAACGTTACGTGCTCTGTCCATGTCAGAATGAGAAACGAGAATGATTGTGACTAGCAGGAACAACATGTACAATATGAAACCCTAATCTGGTGTACCCCCTACTGGTGTGACCCACTACAGCCTAGAACCACACAAACATACAATGTTGACAAGCTGTTGCGGCCAGCATATGGTGGCTCTGAGCGTTACATATCCAACACCGTCGCCACCCCCACAGTACCTACGTCACGTGGCCAACAAAACCTGCCCTGCGCGCAATGCTCGCAAAGGCCAGCTTGTCGTGCTCAAGGCACGGGGAAGCCGCACGCACGTCACGCTTAACGATGTGCTGATCGTCCAGAACCTGCACTTCAACCTACTTTCCGCCGAACAGCTCATGGATTGCGGCGTCGGCCTCAGCACGGACCGCGAGACACGCAACATCCTGCCTGCACTACGAATCACGAAACTTCAACCGCAGGTAGATCGGACAAGCGCGCTCCAAAAATGGAGTGTATGTCCTGGATTTTGACATCCCCGACTGCAGCGGCGATTCGCACGAACTAATCGACCTCGTGCCACTGCGGTTCGAGCATATCCACCGCAGGGATTGGAAACACCCTGACGGCAGACCGTGGGTGCAGCATCATCTCCACCCACGCGAAACGGCGCTGCACGACCCTGACGCAGACGGCATCTGCAGGGATTGTCACACGCCAACAGCGTCCACTAGCGCAATTGCCGGCCGCGGACTTGCCGCCATCGCCAAAGCAGAGCGCCACGCGCCGCCAGAAGAAGGAATGTTGCAACTCCAACTTGAAGTCACCACGCACGGCGTGTTCGGCACGCCAGAGCATCCTCTCATCGGTTCCCCCTCACAATAGCTTCAAGGCATGTTGCGCGGAACTGGCGTCGGCACCTCCGATGCCAATGGCGTGCCTCGACCCTACACCTACGAGAAGTTCCTGGACATCTACTTCCATCAGCGCGACTCGTCGACGAAACTCACCATAAACAGGAAGAAGAATCGGCGCGGCGTGAAGCTGAGAAGCTTCGCCAACAAAGCCTCACCGAAGCACGCAGGACATTCGCTTGCGGCGCATGGGAAGCCGAAGCGGAAGCAAGCGCCTCCAATGAAGGGGGGTGGGGAAATGTTTGTGGATGGGGAACGAGTGATACCGGCAGAACATGGGCCAACGCAAGCGGGGATGGGGCGCCGCAACTGGCGGCGCCCAAAAGTGGGTGGGGAACTTTCCGCGAAGAACAAAAGGGGGGAGAGTATGAAGCAAAGGAAACTGAGGCAACACCTGCAGTGTTCCTCTTGGTCGTCCCCCGCGCCGCGCTCCACTCGCATTACCCCCTCCTGACAACCCACCGCAACGCGACCCCTGGGACACCATCGAGTGGGGCAACGAACCGTCAACTCAGTGTCGCACCGTCTACGGACCTGCTCCCGAGTCACGCGAACCGACCTTTTTCCCTGGAACTATCCCTGGGACTAACATCCCCCTCTCTGAGATTCGCGACAGAGAGTTTCTGGCGCTAATGGTGACTACCGCCAACAACGAAGATGAAGCAGTAGAAGAAGCACCAGCAGCACCTGCCCCCGTACATGATGAGGATCCCGAAGAAGCTCGCGCACGCTACATGCGCACTTTCGGCTTTCGCGCTGACGATGCGCTCTGGCATCAGCGTCTCGGACATCCTTCGTGTGCGACACTAAAGAACTGCATCGACGCAGGAGTCTTCGCTCCTGGGGCGCTGCTATGCCCAGACGGCACTGAATTAAGGGGCGCAACACATCCGCGCAACTGCACCGTCTGCCCCGAAGCTGCACTGAGCCACCAAACCGTTCCCGCCTGCTCGAGCCAGGGACGAACCGCTACCCCAAGCTGCACAAGGTTGTACAGCGATTTCCTGAACGTAGGGCACTGCGGAGTCGACGACGAAATGTACATGCTTACATTTATCGACGCCGGGCCGCGCTATGTGTGGATCGTGAGCGTTTGAAACACGCGTTAGAGCCTATGAGGTGTTCCGCCTCTGGCTTGCGCACGCGCAGCGGCAATCCGGGGAGAAGCTGAAAATCTGGCAATCTGACGGAGCGGGCAGAGTTCAGGAGCAATCAGATGCAGAGTTACCTGGCGCAAAAGGGGATCGAGCACCATATTTTCTCTCCCCTATGCGCCAGCAGCAGCAGGGCGTAGCTGAGCGGACAAATGCACGCTCATGACAAAGGTGTGGGCGCTGATGAAGCAGTCAAAACTACCGCCGATCTACTGGACTTACGCGACTGCACCACGCCGTGCGAGTGCACAACCTGCTTTCAACCACCGCCATCACTGGCAACCTGTCACCACATGTCAAATGGACGGGGACTAAGGGGGACATGTCCATGCTCCGCGTGTGGGGGGTGCATGGTCCAATACCGCCCGCCAACGTCAACCATCGGCAAATTTGCCAACCGCGCACGTTGGGGCATTCACCTCGGCATCAGCCACGAGCACAAGCGTGGGATCGTGCTGGACCTACTCAGTCAGAAGACCACCCACGCTCGCGATGTGCTTTTTCTATGAACGCCTCTTCCTCGACCAGTTCCGCCACGACGATCAGACGAATGGAAACCGTGTTTACGCAAACGATGGGCACAGCTATGCAACGCTCGAGGACGAAGCTGCGGCAGCAATCCTGGAGCTGGACACCAGGGGCGAGTTCACACAGGGAGATCGCTAGCAGCGACGACGACGATGACGACGATTCCCCTGGAGGAGGAATAGGCGGAACAGGCGGGAAGCGGCAGTGGCGCAGCACCACCTAGACAACCTGAAACAGAGAGCGATGACGACGATGTACAGGAAGTTATCCCGCAACGTCGGTCAGGACAGCACCGTTTCAGGATTGCAGCTGCTCGGGCTTCACACCGCAACCTCGAAGGCGCCACGTGTCATCGAGCCGCGAAACCCGTGCCACGATCTCAATGGACCTCACAGCAAAGAATGGCGAGAGGCAATGGACGCAAAAATCAAGGCACTTGAATCCGAGACCCCTGGGTGTTAGTCGACCGTGCGGCAATCAAGGGTGCAAAAGTTCTTTCGGGCAAATGGGTCTTCTGCGTGAAGACCGTAGCGGACGGAACGATCGAGCGCTTCAAGGTGCGTTGGGTGGTGCGCGAATACAACCAGAGGCACGGCATTGACTTCGACCAGACGTTCGTCCCAGTCAGCCGCCACACCTCCGTCCGAATCATGCTCGCCATCGCAATCGTAATGCACCTACCTCTCCGCCAGATTGACGTCAAGAATGCGTTCGTGTACGCATTAGTAGACGCTGTAATCTATGTGGAGCAGCCGCATACGTACGGCGAAGGGGATTCGCACGTATGCCAGCAGCGCAAATCTCTGTACGGGATAAAACAAGCACCAAGGCTTTGGCAGCAGTATATGCACAACATCCTGCTTGAAATCGGGTTCAAGCAGATGCCCCACGATCCAAGGATTGTACCGCCATGATTTCCGTGGCGAATACATTCTCCTCACGGTCTACGTCGACGACCTGCTTTACACGGGATCAAGCAACAAGTTACTCGAGCAGTTCGAGAAAAGCCTGGCGAGGCGCGTCGACATCATGTGCAACTACGAGGTGAAGCAGTTCTTAGGCTCAACATCTCCTCACACACCTGAGGCCATTCAACTTTCAGCGGCTAAGTACGCAGAGGAGTTAGGGAAGCGGTTCAACATCTCGCCTGCACCGCTCTCAACTCCCTATCGAACTCCGGGACCGAACCACAAACCTGACAACAAAGCCCTATCCCCTGCTGGAGTTCAGACTTACCAGCAGCAGCGGGATGCCCGCTCTTTGCCCTCTGTCACATGCAGGCCTGACCTTTCCTACATCGCAAGTCAGCTGGCCCAAGTACTCACGAAAACCAACAGTTTGAGAATCTTCTCGACCTGCAGCGCGGCCTACAGTTATTCGTTTCAATGCCCAAGACTGGGCTGTGCTACTCAACTGCACCAACCCCATCTTTCAACCTGATCGGCTACGTGGACGCGATCACGCAGCAGATTCCCGACAATCGACGGTCCAGGACTAGCTTCCTGTTCCAACTCGTACCGACGAGACCAATCTCCTGGAACTCGCAGAAGCAGGAGCTGGTTTGCCTTGTTGTCAGCGAAGCGGAATTCATCGCAGCATCCGCAGTGTGAGGATCTAGGATCGAACTCAGAAAAGAGAGTTTGAATCGAATGATCACCTGGGTACAACACGAGGCTATATATAGGCTCCACATAAGGCCCTGTGACCAGGTGTTACGCGAAGGTTCCGAGGATCGCGAAGCGTCCCGAAAGATCCTTCCCGAATTCGGTAGAAGTCAATTCAGTGGCAACCGAAAAGCCCAGAATTCGGTGCACGCAACCTAGCTCGGGTGCTATAACTATAATAAACTATAGGAAAGCACCTAGCCTAGGAAATCAAGCAATTTATGCATCCATATGATTATCCTATGCTAGAAATAGCATAATAAATTAAAGCAAGCAAGCATAGCTGGCATAAGCCGTCGTACTCT